CGCAAAAGCGGCAGCACGCGGCGACGGGACCACGCCGAGTGAGGAGCGGCAGAAGTGGCGGCAGGCACGCAGTGGCAGGCACACGGCGGCGGCAAGCAGTGTGAGCGGAACAGCGCGCCAAACACGAGGAGAGAACGAGAGAGAGAGAAGCGTGCCGCGCTGGCTCTTTTATGGGGTTTTCTGCGCTCCCGATTGGCCGGTTTTCTATTTCAGGGCTTTTCAGCCAATCAGACGGGACCTAGTCCCGTCCCTGCTTCCGGCCGCGGCTCCTCCCCCGTAGCAGCTGCCCCCCCCCACACACACACAGAGGGTTCAGCGCCACGTGGAGACGCCATTTTAAGTCAGTATTGTCGGCTGACTCAAAGGACATTTCATGTTCGTGTAAGGAAATACCTGGTCCTTCACAGTTTGTTTTTTTCTCTTCCTCTCCAAAATTTCCCAATAAAGCTTGACAGAAAGTTTTGTTTCCTCCTTCCCCATCAGCTAATACTAAAGTTTAAAGATTAAAAACACTTTCCTAATAAGTACAGTTCAACAAAAAGCTGATACAAATCCAACCATCCTGCCTGGGAGCTGTGAGAGCTGCCCCAGCTCTTGGGCTTCACCAGCCCCCAGAGCCCTGAGACTGCTTGTGGTTCCCACATGGAAGCAGAGCCCTCCAGGAGTCTGATAAATGACCCATCTGATCCAATGATACCAAGGTCTCCTTAGGGCTTGTAAAAACCTGAGTGGCATCTGTCTAAACAGAAAATTTCTCTTTAATCAGATTTACTGCTTTTAAAAGTTGGGTTACTTCTGTGTGTGGTAACTTCATTGGGTTTTTTTGGAGAACAAATTGCCCCTCATTACTTCTCCTCATTGGTCCCAGTTTGGGACCAAAATTTGGTATTTCTGTTATCTCAGCTTTATTCCTGCTTAGCTGCATCACCGATACAGTCACCTCCAGCACTGCTGGCCTTGCAAGACTGTTTCTGGAAAGGGATAACCCTTTGGTTATCCCTGAGGTCTGACAGTCTCTCACATCACTTCTTAACCAACTGTGAAATTCAGCAATTCCTTGAGGCACTGTATGTAACTTCTGTCAGCTTCTCACTCTATTCCTTGCTATGTTCAGCAGCTCCTCATGGTCTGCTCAGTCCATTAAGCCTCTAGCCAGGGCATGCTCATCTGCCTGAACACAACTGCTTCCTTAGAGGTCACTTCTGCGTGAGAAAAGCAATTACACAGCAGTTGCCACATTAATGACATTTTAGCAGCAACTTGGTTGTTTTGGAATAGCTACACATTGGATTTTGAAATGTCAAAGTCTTTCAAGGAATGTAACTCTACTTTCAGTCCAACTTTACTCGCAGCTCTGCTTTGGAAGCAGCAGCTCACTGGCCTGCTACAGTTACCTGCCAAGATGGACTGATGCCAAGAGGAGTTTTCTCCAAAAACTGCAAAACTCCGAAAGGAGTTTAAGAAAACTTAAGATTGAAAGAATGTTACGGAGAAAAGAAACCTGGCATGCAAAAACACTGCAATGCAAACATTACAGAACGCAGCCAACCATTTTGTTGTAAATAAACTTACAAGAAGGGTATTACAAGATGATCAAATCTGTGACAGATAAATGACAGAGAACCTCCGTTTGGCTCAGTGCCAAAGGGAAACAGTGACAGGACATAAACCTTCCCTAATTTTATCTTCATCAATATAAAACTTAATTGATAAAACATAGCAATTAGACAAAACTACTTTTGCCAACAGAGACACTATATCCACCTTTGCCTGAGCATCAGCTTGACTTCATCTCTCACAGCCAGATGTAACTGAGAGGTGAGAAATTCACCATCTCTGCAGCTTCTCCAGGACCACATCCTTTGATTGTTCTTCTCCTGGCAATTTTTTTCTGGTCTCTGTGAGCTCAAAATCCCAATTTACTAGGCATGCAACTTAGAAATAATAAAACTTGTCATCCTATAAAGTATTGTAAGGCATATTAAAAAGTGTGAGAATTCTTTTGTATTGACAACATTCCCTCTTGTCCTCATTTTATTAGATTTACACTTCATTACAGTGGGAGGAGCCCCCTGTGATCCATGTTTAAACAGCATCTAGCAAAACATCTGGGTCATGACTGGGACAGGCATTTATTGGAAAAAGGATGCTGGTGCCTCTTAGCAGTAGGAGACTGTCAGCCCATCTACTCTGTTCCAAAGCAAAGTCAAGAAAAGGCAAAGTCAACAAAAAGCAACGCAGCTCGCTTGGATAAGCACTGACTGAAACGAGTTAGACAGAATCATCAGGCGGTGACCAAGTGGGAGGTCACCACTTTCCACCTGAGATAAGGCCATTACATATGCCATGTCTCAGCATAACTTACTCATTTTTAGTCGAGATGGTGTTGTGGTTAATCCACCACATCCATCCAAGTGTTCCATTTCAGCAGCTATGAGAGCTCTTTTTTTTTTTTTTTTTTTTCCTCCACTTTGCCTGGAAGCACATTAGAAGGATCACTCAGTCACACTAAGAGGCAATTTCAGAAGCAACCCATTCTCAGTTGAGGTGAGGTAGGACTGAGGAGGCATTGCAAAGCCTCAGCTCTGAGCTGCAGTCTTGGTCAGCTTTAATTTCCTGGCTGCATGGTAGCTGTCTGGCAGGAGCTCTCATCTGCATTGGGCTACTTCACTTCTGCTCAACATTGAGACAGACCATGTCCGAGCATTCTTTCCACATGGATGAGGACTGTGCTAGTGCTTGCATGCTCTGAGGTCACAGCAAGCTGTCTGTGCCTCACCTCATCTGTTTAATCATGCTCTGTCTAATGACATACTGTTGCTAAAGAAATTGTATAGATTATTTTTAACTTCTTGAGGTGGCCAGCAAGTTATCCATCAGTGGTTCCTACTGGAATACTACCTGTTGACTGGTTGATTTAGTGCTGTCTGACTCTTTTGCTGTCTTCTGCCAAAGGTGAATTTAACCATGAATCAATCTTTTAAGTATATTTTTTTTCTCAAATGCTAAAGTTACATATACTGAAAAAAACAATTATTTTATTGCTAACTTAAGAGAAAGTTTGCAGTATAATGTCATTCCTTTCCTCTCCTTTTCAGTACCTTTCCCTAGAAAAAAATTGCACTCAAGTATAAAACAACCACAGGAATATGCACTTTCCCTCACGGTTTTTATCTGAAGTGTCTGCACTGACAGATGAGCTATTAAAGCTGGGTGGTTTCACACGCACACATTTCATGCCTGTCTATGCACATTCTGCAGGAGAGGTTCAGCTACACAACAGTAACTGTTACTACCACTTCACTCCTGCCTTGCTCTGCCACCTGCTGCTGGTGGAGGTCCTCTTCATTTGAATTCTACCTGGACACATCTTGATGGCTTTTCAGAGAGTGCAGTACTTTTGCTGGTGAAATGCCTGCTACCTACAGTTAATTAGTCCTCACCCAGCTGCAAGCATCTTTGTCACATGAGAATTGTTTGCACTGAGAAGTGAAGGACTAAGAGTTGGTTATTGCAACACTATCTGTTTTTTTAAGGCATATGGGTATTTTTCAGAATATCCACATGACACTGAGTTAGAAGGTAAAGCTTGTGCCTGCCTTGTAAATGAGAATTTGGTGTGCATTACTAGATGGTGTTTGCACGAATCAACAGCTCAGGAAGTGTGTCAAGCAAGCACACTGCTGCCCCAGAGATGCATCTGTTTGCTGCTGCCCAGCCTGCCCTCAGATGCAAGTGCACCAGTTCGGAAACCTGCCTGGAACACCACGCACATCTTTTTCTGTACAGCCACTTGCAACCACACCCCCCTCCCAAGAAGTTTCTCTGTGTAAAGTTTTATGACTGCATAATAGTAGCTGACAGTTCATTTCAAATTACCATCCTTGGTCATCTCCACAGTCCAAGAGACAATTGGAGATAGTAACTGTCTCTTCTCGATTAAATCCAACGTACATTTGTGAAGTGGATTTGTTACAAATGAAAAATTAACTGCTTAGAACTTTACAGAACAGCCTGGGTTGGATTTAACCACTGAAGCATGCAAGATTCTGCATACAATGCTTGTGCTTGACTTACAGCTAACAGAGAAGGGATTTAATTATAACTTCTGGAGATAAGACAGAATCTAGCCATTGGAATAGTTTATTAAAAAGGTAAGACCAGAATACAGCTGCAGTATTTCCTCTTGTATTTCTATTTTTTTTTTTCAATTGCTTCAAAGGACCTAAAGCTTGAGCCATTTCAGGAGGAAGTTTTGGAAGAAAAGGCAAAATCTGTAAGTGCTTTGACATTTCATTTTTAAATTCTGGGTACTGAAACAACAACTTGACCCCTTTTGTTAAAAAATAATTTAAAAAATACCCATCCTTACTTTTTCCAGTGGCAAGAATCCATTTTAGCTAGCAGAGCACATTGTGCAAAAGGCAACAGAACAAAATCTAGAACGTGGGCAAATCTTTTATATTGATTTTTGAATTGTTTTCAATGGATTTAGTGAGCCAAAAACTCCAGGAGGAAAAAGTGTCATTAATATAATGTACCAAATTTGGCAGCAGTGTGTACTAGGCATTAGTTTCTCTGCCCCCAATCACCTAATTCTACATTCATGTTTTAAATCACAGTTGCACAGGCTCTCTTCCTCTCTCCCATAACTGCTATAGGAAACCCTATTGGGAAAGATGGGGGAGCATCTGATGCTAAGCAATAATCAATATTACAACTTACAAAACCAAAAGCAGGACCAGAAATAAATTTACTGTTGAGTAAATTTATGTCCTAAGCTTGAGCTCTATTTTTCAAATACAGTAGCATCCCTAAATTCAGGGCTTTGAACGTAACAAAAAGAAGATCAAATACACATGAAAAAAATAACCAAAATACATTATCCATAAAATTCCTCACTGCATTACAGATTATTTTTTTTTATACAATACTGCTAGAAAGGCTGCTTATGACAGAGGGATAATCCAGGAGATAACACTGTCAATAATCAAGGCAGAAACAAGCAAAAAAACCTGTACAAGAGTTGTATTAAGAAGCACATGGTGTTTCTTTAACTATTGTATTAGTAAACTTGACAAGCTCTAATGGATGAATCAATATGTAAACTACATACATTAGCTAAATTATAATAATTCAGGATAAATAGGTTTTCTGTACTGCCAAGTTCTATTGACCCTTTTATAAAGATAATTCATTTTTTGCAGAAAGGTGAAGAGAAAAAAACGCTCTATTAATAACTTAACATGGGCTACCACAGGCATCTTATTCAGGCATGAGTCAGAGCTCTACAAGGTCAAAGACTACAAGAGCACCTGAATCTAATGTAACACTGCCTGCAGATGGTAGGAATATGCTTTCAAACCTCGCACTACTTGCATACGGATTCAACCAAGGAAACATGCTGACTTTATTACCGAACATTTCAAGGATCAAAATTTGCTTCACACTCTTCTGAAAACACTCTCTCATCCTGGCTTAGGACAAATCTTGCCTTCTCTAAGGTGGACTCTCATTTTGGGTGTTTCCATTCTGTGCCTGAGCCTGCCTAGCCATAAAAGCCACACATGACCATTTCTACTTCTCCACTACTCCAGAGCATTAAAACAGGGATGGCAAACTTCAAAGGAACTGTTGTGGGTTTTCTTTGATAATTGTGTTTATTATTGTTTTATGATATACTTCTCTGAGTTTAAAGTACAAGCAATTCAGCACTAATATTATGGTTTTGTATCAGCACATAATGATTGTTCAACGTAAAATGTCGGTGATAGAAGAAGAAACTGAGGAATTCCGGCTTGCTCTGAAACGCTACGTGGAATCTGCTGCTTCTCAGGGTGGCTGCTTGCAGTAAGTACAACGTTACTGTTCCTGGGCTGAAGGAAAGAAATGTAGTGTATAACCTAAGTAGAGCTGGATTATTTATGAAGAGAGAACTTTTGACAGCCTTTCTGGCTGGAAAACAGGTGTGAAAGACAAAGCTTTTCAAAGACAACTAAAATCAGAAAGAGATGTCAAAGTATATGTGCAGGCTTTCAGTGGTATCACAAAATGACAATACAGGCTATCCCAAAGATACTAACAAACTTTTAAGGATTCTCAGCTCTGCAGATCATCAATTCATTGCTTCTGGAAGCTCCTAGGCTGACATTCTTTATTGGAAAACTCATTTGCCATCCTTCATTTGCACTCACCTGGCAAGTGAGCAAGTTATCAACTTGTTTGCCTGTTTTCTGCTTGGAAGCTTTAAAAATCTCCCCTTTAGGCTGTAATTTTAAAATTTTAATTCATAATAATTAGTAAGAAAAATTAAAAAACAAACTTTTCAATGAAACTGTGTATTTCTTCTTTGCTTCTTTTAGAATAAAACATTAGAACTGTGCTAAGAAAAAAATGTAGTGACTCACAACTGTACAGAATTTCATAATTTAGCATACTTGAGAATGCTGCAGTCCACACTACAGACTATGAAATAAACACTTTTATAATGTGTACAAAATACAGTATCTTCCAAAGGCTTCACAGGCTGCCTGTCACATCCCTAATTTATAAGCCTTGTTACGAGATCATCACACTTATGGTAGTATCAGTAGTGTTCACACAGGCCAGAAGTAAGTTAAGCTGGAGGAAGAAGAGTGACATTTTTGCTGTGGTTCAGTTGTAAAGGCAGAGTGATAAGGAAAATAAAACTCTTGTGGGACAAGAGCTGGAAAAAAACAAAGAAGAGAAGCCTCTCAGCCCCTTTCCAAAAGCGAACATCCAGCAGAACGCTGCAGTGACTGCAAACTTGTCAGGGGAGAGAGTTTATGTGAAAACTGAATGCCACTTAAATGATGGCAGAGTTCTTTCTTTTCTGAAGTTTCCAGGCTTTGGTAAATCTGTAATGCCACCTACCGGTTGTTTCTCACTGCGGATGTTTCTGACTGACGGTTTTTCCAACAGTTCTTTATATTGCTGCTGTTTTACACTGTACTTTCACAAATAGCAGGATAAAGCAAGTAACTCACATCACTTACTGCTTAATACAGTATGATCTATAATCTGAGACCAATTTGCAAGGACGGCAGTAATAAGATCAATAATCTCACTCTTGGACACTCAAGAAATGACACATCTATACTTTTTGTGCTATACATCTCAACATCAATTTAAGTACTCAAATGTGTAAGTAGTCTATATGCTAAAAAATTTTTATGCTCCAGATAACAAATTGGATGATGTGTAGCAGATCAGCAGATATTCTGTGGGTAATTTTTACTCATGATAAATTGTCAGCTGAATAGCATAAAAAAATTAACTAGTACACAATGGTATTATTTCCAAAGTCTATCTGCAGCAGACATCAGCGCATCCCTCTTTCTGCTTCATTAGTATTTGCTTTCAAAGGACACAAACTTCATGTCACATTGATGCATCTCTCATAAAAAGGATGACTTCTCCTAATCTAATTCTTCCATGGAGCAGCACAAGTTACTTTATAAATGCATTTGAGCTGCTGGCTGTGTGCAATACGCTGTATTAGCTGATTTCTCCTGTACCACAGATGTTTGATTAGCTTTCTGTATCACTGATCAGTATTTTATTTCATAAATAACACTGTTGGAGCAGCATGAAAAAATAATTTTATAAATTCCATCATAAGTTTATAAAGGCCATCATAAGTGTAATAAAATGCTAATAAATAGTCATAAGAATACTCAGTTTTAAAACAGCTCAGGCAATTTGTAGTACGTTTCCCAAAAAGCCCTTATCTGATAATTTTTTAATTTGGGTTGTTTTTGTTTTGCCCTTTTTTTTTCTTTTTTTTCTTTTTTTTTTTCTTTTTTCCAAAAAACACTACATTTGGTTCTTACTCATAAAAACTTGGAATAAGATTTGTTGTCCAATAACTTTTTTAGGTTTGACTAAATTCGTTCTATCCTACAATTCTTAGTGTTTCTATACAGAAGCTTCCAAGTGATTCCTGCTTCATGGTTTATGAGTTCTGGGAGAACAGTGATGCTTGGAATAGGTAAGTTTTGGGAGTCTGGAATGGGTTTTTTGTGATATGGAAGGTTTTGAAGGTTAGAGAGCAATAGTGTAGAAGGACTGAATATATATTACAATCAATACTTCAGAACAATACTTTAATTGCTAAAGACTAAAATATACTGAAACATATAAATAAAAGTGTTAGACACAGTTTGAACAGAGCATAAAATGTCTGAAAGTGAGTAGAGGAAGGTACAGCATCAGAGGAATGTTAATTAATCAAAGACAAAATCACAGGTCCAAAGCAGCATTACCACAGTTTAATGATAATAGGAGAAAAGGAGCCAGTGACTGAGAAGGGTTTACACCATCCAGCAACACACTTAAGGATGCAAGCAGTCATGGGGAACTCTCCTAAAGATTCCCAAATCCACATCACAAAAACCCATCTGGCAATTTCCCAGAATGTCTCCTTTGGGTCCAAAAAACAAGTTACAGATCAGAAGTCCTGAGTTCTAACCTGCTGCAGGCAGGTGGCTAAATATTATTTTTGTATTATAATTATTTTTTTCTTTCCTTAACTACTTTTACTATTTAAAAAAAAAACAACCAAACCCTCTGATCATAAGTATGTATATAGCAACTGTTCTGAAGGGAGACAGGGAAGTCTCTTGAAGCTTACTATCTTTTTCTTTTAAACAAAGCCCCATTTCAAAGCAGGTATGTTTACTTCCTGAAAGACTCAAAACCACAGGAAACATACATCAATGCATATCGAACAAGAACTGTGTTACAACCAAGAGATAAGCATCAGAGTAACAGGCAATCATACAGAAGAAAAAGTCTGTTTAATATAATGTACAAGCACTTCACAACTTACCTGGTTTCCCCTCCCACTATCATAATTGCTTAAGTTTTGAAGCACAAAATCTGTCTTACAGCATTACATTTAGCCCCTTTAAAATCTTTGCTCTATTCTTGTTTGTTGTTTGTTTTTGTGTTTGTTTTTTTTCCCAACTATTTAGCCACCTTCAAATGAATTACAGCAAGACATTCCAAAGAAGTAACATGGACTTCTTGGAAGCTCCAGAGCTCATCACAACAATGCTAGTCCCTGGTAAATAAAAGTTGTTCACAATATTTTGCTTGTTTCATGTGAAGAGTTCTGCTGGATTAGTCTGCTCCATATGCAGGATCACTGCATAATATCAGTGTTAGTGAGATTTTCTTTGGTGAGGTATGAAGAAGAATAAGATCCACAACAATTTTATACAGTACAAGTTAACACTAGCGTATGCAAGCATATACTATTTAAGAAAATATCAAGAATAAACAATACTACTTGTGGTAAGAGGCTGATTTAGATTTTCAGACAAAAAAAAAGGTTTGCTGACGAAGACTTCAACTTAATCGTATTTATATTGACTGATGTGAGTATTTGTTGCTAATAATTTAAATTCTCTAACCAATTTGTTGTACTTGCTTCTTGCTATGTTAAAACAAATTACTTTAAAAAAGCAGGGTGTTAATGACTCCAAATTACTACTTCTAATACAAACAAATCAAGATGCAACATCATCCTTCTCTGAGAAATGATATCCAAGAAACAGTACAGGATGAAGCAAAACAAGCACCAATCCCAAATTCACAGAGGGAGGACAGCACAATTTTTATATTGTCCAACACAACTCTATTACAATGAAATCCTTATTTCCTCTATGTTTAAGTATACACAATTTAAAAAAATAAAACCCCACCTAGTAGGGAAAAAAGTCATAGTCCTACACCTGGCATTTCTCCTTAAAAGAAACCAGACAAATTTTCAGACCTCATGAGCCTGCTTTGAACACACAAGTATATGCATGCCTGCAGTATCAAGGGATTGCACCTAATGAACCAAGAATCCCCTCAGATCTTGTATCTTACTGGGGAAATTGCTGGATTTAAGACAAACTTGGCTGAAGGAAACAATGCAGCCTTTTCCCTAACTTATTTGTGTCAAAGAGATAGACTGGGTATTACCCAGGAGTGCTCAGGGGCACTTTACTCACAGCTGAAGTACAATCAAAATAAATTTTAAACATAATTTATAAATGCCTAAATACAGAGGTGTATGTAATGGGATTCAAAATGCTCATTAAAGCATGGACTCTGCCTGCTAAAGACTTCAGTCTGCAGCTCTCTACCTTGGCAGATTGTTGCCATAGAAACAGCATTTCTCAACCTACACTACTTGCTGAGGGGGCAATGGGAAGTAATGCACTCCCACATTTTTTATACCATTTCATGGATTATCGGTAATTTAGAAATGTGTGCAGACATTTGAACAATTCTTTTTTGGAATGTACTTCCCATGTTTGATCTATACAAACAGTATTTGTATTTGAAAGGCAGAAAATGATCATGAATGATGGCTGCATTGCTGCCAGTATACTTTTTGAAAGAATTTGAGACATCATAAAGTAGTATCAGTGTAAAATCAGGAAAAAAACCAGCCTGTCTGCAACTAGCACACAGATAGGCTGTATTTTAAAAACAAACTTACCCTAGCTCAAACTCATCTACAGTTTTTTACACATATTGTTAACGAAGGACTGAAACAATTCTAAATTATAATGTGAATCTGATTCAAAGATTACAACCTATCTCCACTCAGTTAATTAAAATTAATAAGGATACACTTACCTAGCTAAGAATGATTCAGGAAGACATGGAATCTTAAGACTGTTAGATCAAATATCATTCTAAAGCAAATTAATTTACCACCAGTTAATGGGAGCCACAACCTGCTTACAATCAACAAACCTGATTACTATTACCTGTTGTCACGATCCGTGACCTATTATATCTCCTTATTGGAGTGTATTAACTTATCAGGATTTGCTGAGAGATCCACACGTGGTATCGCCTCACACAGAGGATACAGGAACTTATGTCCCGACTTTTTTGAGTGAATAACTCGCTCAGTGCTTACTAAATTTCTAACAACAGCAAGGTTTATTGTGGGGAAAACAAAGCAATTTGGGGCAGGAGGTTCAAAAGGAGTGATTACAACACATTAAACATATATGGGTACACCTTAGTTACACATCTTATCCACGTGAGGGAAGCAGAGGGGAGGGATTTGCCCGAATGGCTGGATTATATTTTCCCCTATAAGCTGGGGTAGCCGGAATTGTCTCACCACGGCAGTGCAGGTAGGATGAGCTGGGTAGCAAAGAGGCTGCGGGCGCTCCAAGCGCAGGTCGCCCACCCCCCACCACAAAGCGGCGGCAGTCGGTGCGCGGCTCCGGGACCGTAGGTGTGCAGA